AATACATGAGTTACCAGTATTGTATTAGAACCGTCATTCCCGTCGATGTAGTGTAGACTGTAGGGATGGGTAGTATTATTAGGATTTGATGTAGAGTAGGTGTTTAAATTTGTGTGTGGGTTGGTGTTTTGGTTTTGTTGAGAATTTGAATTGAGATCTTGATGTATAATAGATTGAGAATTTGGATTAGGATCCCCGTGTATAGCATATTGAACATTTGTGATATGACCGTTGGTCATTGTTAAGGCTCAAATACAATATCACAAAATGAAACTTAAGGAGAAAAATAGTTACTGAAGAAAAATGGAAGAATATTAATGCTTTTCTCATTGAAAACTTGGGTCTACAATTACAATACACACACACACACACAATAGAATGAGTGCTATACAAGCTACCTAACATAATTGGAAAGAGATGGAATCTGCATATTTAACACAGTTCTTCAACCGGCATCTACAATATATTTCTTATATAACTTGTTGCATCTTCTACATTCTAGAATGCTTTGTTGGTGCTGAGGTTGCTGACATGGTTTGTCCATGTGGCAATTCCACTTCCATTCATTATTCAACACAATATTGGTGGGTCTGACCTTTTCCCTATTGGGACCGATCGACGAGTTGCGGCAGAAACAACCAATTGGTGAATTGGACGTTAGCTTCGAGGGGAACTAAATCGAAGAAGTTATTATAACTAAATCAGCTACAAACCTGTTACTTTTGAATATCTATATAGATTATTGTCGTTATGAGAGAGGAGAAATGAAGTTGAGGCAGACTGGAAGTTCAAAAGTTTGCTTTGCTTTCGTTTGTACTGGAGAATGAAACAAAATAGAGACGATGGTTTCAAGAAATCAAAGTAACAAAATGGGGTACGAATCTTGTTTGTGAATAGTGGAAACGAGATAGATGTGAAAACTTAAGTGACAAAACGAAACAGTAAACCACTAGCCTCCTCTGTTAACAGAAAGGTGATTGGGCCCAATTTCCTCAATAATAATTATGACAATTTTATCACTAGGTTTAGTCCCTTTAGGGCTCCATTTTAATTTAATATATTTTTTCTTTCTTCATTTTTAATGATATATTTTTCAATAAAATAATATTATACGTAAATTCTAAAATTTTTCTTATTTTTTAATTATATATTCTAAAAAAAAAAATTAATATTTCAAAATATGTTTTTCCCAAAACATCGTTAAACCCTTGTTAGGTCCTATTATTTTTAAAATATATTTTTCTTTCTCTTATTTTCTACAACACAGTTTTTAATAAAATATTATTACACGCAAATTCAAAATTTTTTCTTATTTTTTAACCACACATTCTACATCAAATTATTATTTCAAAATGTAATTTTGACAAAAAAAAAAAGACTCATAGAGGCGTTAAGCCCATGTTTCATGCACGTATTTGGAGAGAACGTTCTCACATTTGGAGAAAACTGTAAGTAATTTTCTCGAGTAATACTATGGTTCCACTGAAGTTACAACTCCGATCTAACTGATGCTAAATAAATGATACATTCAATGATTTTTTTAATTTAACTATCATTTGATATCAAGTTAACACCACCTAAGTTGGGACGTAGCATTACTCAACGTTCTCCTGCAACAGGTGGGCATTGTGCTACAGAGAATAACTTCGCAAACGAGGTTAAAATGGAACACAAACAAGGCTTAAATCCCTTGCCCTAGTGGTGGCAAACGGGTCGAGTGGCTCATCGACTGACGAGCTTGAGCACGGGCCAAACAAGGTTGCTTGTCCACGAGCCACGAGCGAGTGTCTGGTGGGCTCGTCCAAAATCGAAGATTTATCTCTTTTTTTTAAAAAAAAAAAAAGGTTTATCTTATATTTACTTATTGTTTGACACCCATTTTATGGAAGAAATTGATTTAGAATAGTTATTAATGGAAGAATGTGTGGTTAAAAAGTAAGAAAATTTTTTGAATTTATGTGTAATATTATTTTATTGATAAAATGTGCGGTTGAAAGGAATAAAAAGAAAAAAATGAAAATGAGGAAAAAATGGATATCAAACAAGGACTTTACAAAAAAATAAAAAAAAAATTGACGAGCTCGCGAGAACCGAGCCCGTAGCTCACGGCCGAGCCGAGCTCATGTGTGTATTGGCCGGCACATTGCCACCTCTACCTCGCCCTCACTGTGCAACTCCTGGGGCACGAAGCTTCCGCAATAGCTTACTCTGTCAAATCCAATCTCTTTATCACTATGCATATACATCTAAAATCATTTACTTGCATTCAAATTCATAAAAATCGGATTCAGATTCCATGGCTAGAACTAGAAGAGTCATTCAAAGATTGCCCAATCGGATTTTCTGGTACTCTTCTGTACATATGCATACGCGCACATTATGTTCTCATGTGAATCGGTTCAATGATTTGCTATTGCTAACGATGTTGAATTTTAAGATCATGATTCCCTTTGATTAGCTATTTTTCACTTATTTATCAACGATGTGTTCTATCTGTTAACGACTTAACGTTTCATTGTTACTTGCTACGGCAGTATTTATTAATCGATGTCTGAATCCATTGCCGAGCAGATTTTTGTTGTGTTAATTTCTTTCCTAGTGATTGCTAGTGGTTACTTTTATATACATGTATACTTCAGGAATTAAATACTGTAAGATTGATTCAATAATTGGATTCAAACTACAACTATTTTTTCTTTTCTTGTTAATGCAGCGTATGTAATAGTAGTGGGCAGTTCCGGAATCCATGAGTAACTTGGTAAATAGTTGGAGAAGTCACAATTCTTAGTGGAAGAGTTGGCAATAGGTTGAGATCTAGCAAGTGGTGACCACTATCATATGATGAAGTTTTTTAGAAGGAGGTGTTTGATAGTGATAACTATTGAGGAGTCATCCTCCTCTGGGGCTTTGCTTATGGAAGCATATATTGGGTGTATAGTTAACGGAAATAATTAGATTAGTTAGACATGGGTGTCGGGTGGGTCGGTCCGGATATTTTAATACCGGACCACCCATTATATTTCAGGTATTTCGTATATGGAACCATTCTGGTCTTTGTAATTATTGAAATCAAATCCAAATCCGAAACGTCGATTTCGGTTCGGTTCTATACATATTATTATTGTTTATATATATTTAATAAACATTTCCATATAGACTAATTTGATATGTATACCTAACACGCTACTACTCGACAATACTTGTGTAAGGAAGAAAATCTAGCTAAAAAATCTTCAAAAAGCTAGGAAATCCAACTACATGACTCAAGATAGTGGAGACTAAATACTAAGAAAAAATGAGAAAATTAAAATATCAAGAAGAAAATTAGAGTTTGAGAACAAATGATTTTTTCTTAATAAATCTTATTTGATCCATAATTGAGGAATGCTAGAGCTAATAATATAATTATGAACAATGTTTAAATTCTTGTATTCTTAAAATGTCCTGATATAAAGAAATACTAATTAGATATATAACTATGTAGTATCAAGAAATCAAAGAATGAACGCTTTGATTCATTAACTTACATCACAACTCTAGCTTTTGATTTATAGAAAGTCCAAATTGCAAAAATTAGCATGCAACAATATGATGTGAGGCGAGAAACAAAAAAGTAAGAGCTAGTTTGATTTCTTAGGATTAGAATCTAGAGTTTTATACAAATTACTACGCAAATTACAGTTTTTAAATTTTGCATTTTTTACCCAGCCTATAGCTGGATTGGTGCACTCTCCTGGTACCTTCGTTAGTTTATTCTTTCATTTTGGTGCATAATTTTCTCTCTCTATTTTTTAAGTTATTTTTTTAAAGATGAGGCTGCTTGTCTCTTCCTATGTTAAACTTATTGGTCCTAGCTTTTCTATTTGGTATTGAATCTGATATACCAGTTATTTTCGTGCAATATAATTATTACCAGATTACTGGCAAAAAATTATTGCATGGATTTCTAGTGACTGAAGTTTTAATGATTAAGGATATGGTGAACTGATCAAAATATTAAAGGTGCTATGGATTGTCATTTTTATGCATTAAAGAAAGAAGATAATTAGGTTTATGTCCATGATTTGAATCATAAAAGGCAAAATGGGCTTACCTTGGGGATAATATAATTATATAAAACTGTGATTTGCATCAGCTAAATGATTCACTGAATGTTCTGGATCCCTTGTAGGCATACTTGAGGATCCTGACATGACCACCTAGCACAAAGTAGTGGTGAACTGAAGCCGGTTTGCGTAATTCTTTCTTGGAAGAGAAGGGTATTTGATGTTAGATAGATCAAATATCAAAGAGTAGAAAAATGATGAGTTTTAAGAAGATTGTCCTCAGTGTCAAAGACCATGTACCGATGAATTAAGACTATCTCTTGAGTGCAGGGGAGCCTTCAAGTGTGCCATCATTGGATGCTTCCCCTTTCTACATTTTTCTCTTGGATAAGGGGAAAAATAACTGAAAGTTTCAAGGGCCAAAATGAATTGATGCTCAATTTTTATTTATTTATTTATTATTTTGGAAAGGTATGGAATTGTTGCTTTTTTTACTTTAATATTTTATACTGGGTTCTTCCTCATTTTCACTTCAGTAGTTGTTTCTTTATACGAGTTATTATAGTGCAGTTGAGGATTAGTTTCTCTCATTTTTATCTTGCTTTGCAAATATTTAATTGGATGTGTCATAGGAGTTGTACTAAATCATATTGTTTCGTCTTTTAATTTCCTAGTTGACATGTAGAAACATGGCTGATTTATCTGGAATTGCTCTACCAGAAGCTGAAAGAAATATGTAGTTTCAAAATGATTATCAAGTTACGTAGCACTGAAGGGTGTCTACTGCACCATTAAGCTATAACTAATTCTTTGTGCCATCATTAAATTATGGTTTTTTGCATTTGACTAATTGCCACTGTATACAGGTTTGTGACTACAGGAAACCAAAAACTGGTTTGGATCATGTAGAAGCGTGAATAAGTTTCTCTCTCATTGGATAATCATGGTATCCATATGATAGGCCAAATTAAACATGTTTCATGTCGTTCTCGGTCAATTTTGTTCAAAGTTCTTGCCGATACTTTAGGTCTTGATGGTAGGCTCATGGTGGTAAGTATTTTATCTAAGTTGGAGTTACATATAAATTTCTTTTCCCTTGTGCTATGATTTTCAATAGCTTAGCTCCAAACAGTGGACTTAAAATTAATGTGGATTCTCAGTATATTTCAGCTGTTGCCCAAGATTCTTTGTTTTTTTTTGTCCTTTTTCCCTTTTTCTTTCCCTGTTCTCAGGTTTTACCTAGAGGAGTAACGGAACGAGCAGATTCATTTAAGCAAATGTCCATAGTTGTTTTGAATTCTGTAGAACTCCTGGTTGATCTTGTGCATTTTCTGGGCAAGCTGATACGAAGCTCTGCAGCGGCACTTTTTCTCACTCGTCTCTACTGGTGAGAGTGATTGTGCAGATAATAACATATGATTCGCCTACTGATTAGCATTTCAGATCAAGCAGATGTTGATGAGTGAGAACCTGTATTTTAGATCTGTATAATTTGAAGCTTTGGTAACAACAATCACTGGCTTCAATACTAATCACATTAGGTTTAAGGTTTGTTTCCTTTTCTTTTCTCTGCCCTCTGCAGAATGTATTATTATCATTCTTCAGACCTCATATCATTATAAGGTTGAAACAGTTATGAATACTTGCAGTTCATCTTTGAGGATAATACTTCTGCAGCATTAAACCCTGAATCCTGATTGATCATGCACAAATGAAAACAGTGATATTTGAATTGAAGTGGAACCATGTTTTAAATGGTTGTTTTTATTCTTTATATATGTGTAGGCTTTTAGCTTTTGCTAGAGAGATTAAATATTCTTGTTTTGTAGTCCAACTAATAAAACCCCTGTTTGGGCTCCATTATTTCACATTTTTAATAAGGAGAATAGTAATTTTTTGGGAGAATGTGTAGTTGAAAAAGAAGGAAAAGTTTTTAGGTTTACATATAATATTATTTTATTGAAGAATGTGTGGTTAATAAGAAGAGAGAGTAAAATTAATTTTAATTTAATGGGGACCAAACAGGGTAAAAACCTGTTCTTACAGTTTACCCACAGTGAACCTAATGTAGAAAATTCGTTTTGGTGGCGCAGCCGGAAGAAAGTCATTGCTGAACAAAGGACAGCCAGTTCAAGGTTTTTTATTTATATCTACATGATAACTTTTTCTTATTATTATTTTTTTTTAATGCTAGATAACTGGTAGTCATATTTCTGTTAGAAAGTGCTAATGTGAGACTTGTAATGGTAATAATGTGGAAAATGGTTGGATTTATCTAAAATTTCCTATACATCTCTGAAATTCTGTGACATAGGATGTGAGGAACACGATTGATCAAGAATGAGATTCAAAAAGGAAGCGGAAGAGAGAAGAGAAAGAGAAGAACAGGGAGAGAATAAAAAGAATTCAGGGGGAGAATATCAAGTTTATTTCATATCGTATTACAATGCATAAATCTCATTTATACAGGGCTTCATAAAACATGTTCTAAGTAGGAAACATCTAATCAAATCCTAGAAAATCTAGTAAATAAACGTAATAAAATCCTAGAAAATCCAATAAATAAAACTTAATAACTTTTTTTCAAAATAAGAATTTAAACATGGAAAGTATCTTATAATAATCTAATAGGATATCCATCATTTCTCCCTGTCTAAGAACTCGATTGGGACGAAATAGATTAAAATTTCTTAGTTAATTAGGATGAATTTTCTTCCTGACCAAATAATGACACTAATTACACGTGGACAATCGAATCTAAAAATCATTCCCAAGCATCTGATTTGTCCAATGGGGGACGATATTTCCTTTTAATCAAGTAGCGACAACAAATTTCAAGAAGCAACAGCATGTGCAACTTATTCACAAAACTATCGTGGAATCCACACGAGTACGATGCACTATCATAGGAGATTAGCCTGCAAAAACAAATGATTGCAACAACGATGTCTCGAATGTGCTCCGATAAAGAAATAATTCTGTTATATTGAAAGCAAAACCTTCATTTAAGTGTGACAACAGTCAAATAGGATGTATGGAAACAATTCTGCTGTATTGAAAACAAATTGACGTAGGATGCAAGGAACACAATTGAATAAGAACAAGATTGAAAAAGAAAAAGAAGAGGAAGAGAGAAAAGAAAGGGAGAAGGAGAGAATAGAGATAATTTAGGGGAGAATATCAAATTTATTTCATATCAAAGTTGTATGTATTACAATGCATAAGCCCCTTTATATAGGGTTTAAACTAGTCCTAATTGAAGTAGAAAAATACTATAAAATCTATTTAAGGCATGTGAGAATTTGATCCTAGCTAGTGGAACAAGAAAGACAACTAATCATGTTTCCGAAAATAAGTGTCTTAACTTGGAAAGTATATTAAATACTATCTCTACTAAGATTCTCATCACTCTGATACTTGTAATCTATGGGAGCTTGATCCAAGAGGGAAAAGCCACATTGTTAAAATGTAATAAAGACATATCTCAATGACTACAAGAGAAGTGGGAGAAATCAGTGGCACTCTAGTTTCTTACAAGCCATGCCATCCACTTGGTTGGACGAAAATATGTAAAAAAAAAATGTTGCATTTAGATGTAACTATAGATCTTTTTCAGCAAAGTCTTCTAGTTTCATGGGATTGTATGCAGTGTTGTTCAGCAGGAGAATTCCATCTTCTTTCCACCTTAAATTCCAAATTAGCTGGATTTTGTTAACTCATCACATTTGACTTTCATTGATGATTTAGTAAATCTTTTATCCATCACTGACATTACGGCAAATGAGAAATGCAGTTCTATGAGAGATTAATGTGGACTTATGTGTTTTACACGACATCCCCTGTGGTTGTATTGGCAATGACATCCATCATGTTTTTCCTCATTTTTTTTCCTAATTGATTTGATTTTTCTATACACTAACCCATCTTAGTCTTGATGTTCTTTTTGATTAATTGACGAGGAAAGTGTTTTCATTTATTCATTTGTTCTGTCATCTGATGTGTTATTAAGGCATATGATGGGCTCACTGTTTGGTTCATTTTACTAATGTATTTTCTGTCAACAAATGATCTCCCACTTTTAGATTTTTCCATGCAATATAGATTTTTGTTTCCTTATTTTTTGTATTGATTTTCAATTTTTCAATTGCTTTTCCAGTCCCGAGCATTATTTCTTTCGAGGACATGGGGGATCTTTGCTTTGTGGTTGCAGAGTTTCCTCCGGAGAGGACTACAATGACCTCAATGCATCAAGGTTCTTACTTTACTATCATTCTTTTGACCAAGCAATATGTATTAATAAACATTAATTTTTGGTCCATGCCAACAAAATATTTATATGTCCAGGTAGCATTCTTACTACCATGATGTCTTATTTTGACACTTTGAATTTCAATCCTATGATATGGATGCCACCTTTTCTAATATATTCTTTTAGTTAATTGATTTTGCAATTTGTATATTCAGCTTCATAGAATTCAGTTGTGGATCTCTTTTTTTATGTGGAAAGCTGATATTTTCCCAACTCTATCAGCAATTTTTTAATTGTTAAATGTATTTGTAATTTAAGGGGAATTACTACCGTTGGAGTTTTTCTCATGATTTTATTATGGCCTTGCAGAGTAGGACTAAGTACCTTCTTTTGGTAAAGGCTATGGGAACGTGGAAGAAGCTGTTAAATTTGGGGAAGCATGGGGTGACCTCAAGGATAAGTGCATCTTTGACATCTGCGACTGGAAAAAATGTGTACAACTTGACTTTGTGTCTTTCTAATAGCTTTGGAAAGCTAGTTCATGGTAACTATCACATCTGCCTTCGTCTTGAAGGTTATTGAAAAGTTATTGTTATTATGAAAAACCTCGTGCAATTTATGTTACCACAATAAACACATCTTAAGATTTAGTTAACGTTTCTCTCGTTCAGTATTTTGTAGCATTTAAGTATGGTAAATTATTTATTCTCTTTGCTTATTTTCCTACCTACTTTTTCTTCATTCTCTTTCTTGTTTGCCGAATGCGGTAAGAAAATCTGCTTTCTAATGCATTTCGTTGACCAATTACAGGTCTGCTGGTACATATCCCATGGATGCCTGTATGCGAAGACGGAGTTGTATTAGCATGATACCAGAGATTGGTGATGATACTGTAAGTTGGTTGACTCTATTAAAACTTATTATGGTTTTCATAAGTTTTTATTTCTATGGTGGAAGTTAAAGCTTGAAGATATTCATTCGAAAATGGAAATAAAATTGAATGTCACCATTAATTCATCCTCATTTCGTTTGAGATTTATTTTTTGATTTTCTTGAAACTGCCATATAATGAAATAAAAAGTATCTTGGTGTCCATTATTTAGTCGATGTTGGGCAAGCTCCAATACTATCCTGCACATGCAAACTTCTGTCACAAGTGAAGAGGTGTGGTGGCATAAACATGAAGAAAGTCCAAATTTGGCACATATAAGGGGAAATAGTAATCAATGATGAATAATTCTTAGGGATTTTACCAAAATGTTCCTTAGCAGCCTTGCTAAACTCTAATACCCTATTAAATGACTACCTCACATAATATCTTTAAATGTTACAGAAAAGATGAATTTATTGCTTTTAAAATCTTCAACAGTAGACAACGAATCAATTGATACCATCCATGGAATGGAATTTTCCATCTGTTTACATCGTGCCTTGTTTCATTGTACTCCGTGTCAAGTTCTGATGCTTGGACTCGGGTACGAGTATCGGGTACGGATACGTATCTAAGTATCGGATCTTTTATTTTCTAAAATATAGGATACGGGAACATGGCTAAAAATAGTTCAAATTTTAGATACGGGTATGTGGGTACGTCTTTCAAATGCCAATTTTTTTATTAATCCAGGATGTCATTTTGAATAGAGTAAAATTAATTATTCATAATGAAAGAAATTAGTATTTAATAAGGGGTTAAAATGAATAAAATAGAATTTTGGGGTTTAATTTTCAATTATATGAGAATTACTAAATATTATATAAAATATAAAATGAGGAACTTGACTGGAATTTGGATTTAGTGGAGCACTAAGTAGCACTATATGGTACCAATTTTCATTTTATACAAACAAAACCCTAAACCATCGATACAGAGAGAGAAAGAAGGAAAAAAAGAAGAGAATGGAAAAGAAAAGAAAGAAAAAGAAGGTAAAACCTAGCGTCGCCGCCTTTCTCCACTCTCTTGGCGACAATACTAGGTTTATATAAAGAGCAAAAGTGGGAAAGAAGAAAAGGAAAAGAAAAAAAGAAAAAAGGAAGAAGAAGCAAAAACGACGAAGTGTCCGGTTGAAATTTGGAGGATCCGACGCATATTTCATACCCATACCCATGTTGTGTCGTATCCGACACGGGCACTCCAACTATTTCAAAAAGTCCGAGCATCAAAGGTGTTAAAATGTGGATATAAACACCTAAGTTTGTCCTCTCTCGAGCGAGGGTCCCATCACTTCTAGACGTGGATTACATGCTGATGTAGCTTGCACTACTTGTTTTTCTCATGACCTGGTTACAATAAAGTCTGATTATAAATGCGTTTGGTAGCTCTACCTGCTATTTTGGTTTACATAACATTGACGGTGAGCTTGAATCAGGGGCCTGTCGAACGATGAATGAAACTCCGAAGAGAAATTGTCCTCCCAAGGAACGAGTAAATTCAACCCATAGATCTACAAGTGAAGGAGATGATAGCTCAGATCTACAAGAAAGTGTATGTTCTTTTCTCTGCATCTTTCTCAAAAGAATGATTTAGGAATCCTGCATATAATTCTTTAGTGCTACATTGTTTGTTTCTCCCGAGTTACAAATTGATATCTTGTTTTGCTTTCGATTCCTCATGTTTTATCGTGTCAAGTTTTACTTAGAAGTTGTTTCTTACACCAGGCAATCTCTTAGCTGTTTAGTGTACAAATCAAAAAGTCTCCCTTTACATGATGTGCTAGAATGTTGTCCTACTCATTTTTTTTATATGGAAATTGACAGCATTCACCTTATTTAGTATCCATACAGTTTGTTCAAGTCCACTTAAATAATCTCAAGCTTTCACAATTTTGTTTGGTGTTAATATCAGTGGTCAAATTATGTTTTTCTATCCTAAAATAATTTCCCAAGAATGTTTTATGCAATTAGTGCATTTTTTTGTATTTTACTTGTACCTCTTATTGCTGAAGCAAATTTTCTTTCTCATTTCAAAAAATTTACAGCAGGTCTCAATCTGGATGAGTGTGAACTGAATGAATATTAACACTTATGCCCCATTAATTCAGATTTCCAATAGTTACCCGAATGACCAGATATGTCTAGTCTTGTCCTGGAATTTAGCCGCGATTTAATGTTTAATATCATATGCATCACTTTCCAGCTATCAAGGTTCAATCTTGAAAAACCTATGAAATGTAGTGTTCATGGGAAGCAAAAGGCAATCTCATTTCCATCATCTCAATCTTTTGACAATCAAGCTTCTCTTACGGGTGAGGCAAGTGCAATATTTGCCAGTCCTGATATGATGTCAATATTCAATGAAGTGCTTGAAACATCAAAGATTCTGAAGAAGCCTTTGTTACCCTTTCAAGAATGGAATATTGATTTCTCTGAAATTACCATTGGAACCCGTGTTGGAATCGGTATGTTAGTTTCTTTATATTAGTTTCCGATTAGCAAAGCACAACTTGCTGTGAACATTCCTTTCTAAAATGTTTCTATAATCGGAGATTAATATAGTTTTAGTGCAACAGTATCATGATAGGGGTTTCAATAAATTGAAGTCACTGTTACCCATTTTCCCCATTATCAGAAAACACTGTTACATTTAAATGCTTTATTATATTCCCACTTTGTTCTATTTTTAGTTGCCTGAATATGATGACTCTCACTCCCTCCCTCCCCTCCCTCCCTGACACGCATGCACTTGCATCTGCATACACACATAATGTCAAATCTGAAAAGGGATAGAAATTATAAATTTTGTAGTTATTTAACTGATCAAAAGATCTTTTATATCTATGTGCAGTCAAAAGACATGTATAATCCGTTAGGTGCATGTATTAATTCAAACACTACAAATACAGTTCAAGAAGAGCAACAAATTTGATGAGATATATCTTTTGCATGTAAAAATATAATCTTCACAGTAAGATTTATGATGTCATAATATCATTTTTGTTAAGAAATGTTATGCTAATTAAGCTCGTTTTTATGTTTTAACTTTCTTGAAACCAGAAAGTCATAATTATGATTGGAAAGAACAAGAATGTCATCCTCTTCTTGGCTGTGATATTTCTCAAATAAGCCATTATCTTGATCATGTAGCATTATCTCTAAGACGAAGCAATCCCCCTAAATGCTTTTACATAAAACACATTGAACACACTTTATGGTCTTAAAATGAACACGCTATTTGACATTGAATTTTATTTTTGTTTCATGCTATTCACCTCTTTAATACTTTTCATCTCTTAAATTCAGTTTCCATTTTTTTCCTTTTGTACTCCAGGATTCTTTGGCGAAGTTTTCTGTGGCACTTGGAATGGATTAGAAGTCGGGATCAAAGTGTTTCTGGAACAAGAATTGACTGTTGAGAATGTTGAAGATGTTTTCAATGAAATATCTATCTTGAGGTAATTTATAATTGGTTTGCTGATGTTATCATCTTTTTAAATGAAACTATTTTTATTGACAAAAATCTCTCCATTCCCCAACAAAAGGAGAAAGGAGAAACTTGAATTTATTTGATACCTAGCATTTCTTTTTCCTTTTGCAGCCGTATCCGCCACCCTAATGGTAATGTCTTTCTTCAAACATTCCTGAAAATAGTAATATATGTTATCACGATGCCTTTATCTTTTGGAATTTCACTTCCTTTTTATCTCCCGAAAAGTTGGTAGATGTTGAGAGAGTGCGTGATATTTTTCTATGCAGTTATTTTATTCCTTGGTGCTTGTACAAAGCCTCCTCGCTTGTCCCTGGTTACTGAATATATGGAGATGGGATCACTGTATTATCTGCTCCATGCAAGCGGACTGAAAAAGAAACTCAGCTGGCAAAGAAGGGTTAAAATGCTTTGTGATATATGCAGGTTCACTTTCTTATCTGTTCTCCATTGCACATTGAGTTGTGAATACATGCTCTTTTGCTTGGTTTTAGGGATTCAGAGCATTTAATTTTGTCTTTTGCTTGTAGGAAAAGAAGAAGGATAAATGATGATAAGGTGGATGCATGATCATTAAATTCCCAAATCTAATGCACACTATGTTACGGGGTTTTTGTTGAGTATAGGGTCCAGTTTGAATTTGATTAATCTATTATCCAAGACTGGTTAATAAAATCTGTTAAAACTCGTGATCTGAATAAGATGCTATGGCAGTCACATCGAATAAGATGGGGAAGGTGCTGCGTGCAACCAAAAAAATTCACTTCAAATCACACAGTAATTAATTTGTTAAATTTTACATTTGCACAATTTTTTCTTCTTATCGAATGAAAATGAATATTTATTTGGTTACTCAATTAACTAAGTACTGGGCTCTAAATTTTTCTTGCTTGGTGTTTCACTGTATCTCA